CAAACACTCTGGCGTCGAGGTAGTGGCAGTTAGCAGCTTAAGAGTCCTCCGGTAATGAGGCAACCAGGTGCCACCTGGTGGTGGAGGGAAAACACACAGAAACACAACCCACACAAACTTGATTCCTAACACTTTCTATAAGACTGAGATTTCAATCGACTTGAACTAAAAACATGCTAGAGTATTTTTGGTATCAGTGCAACAGTAGTTTGTAAAGATGCCACTTTTTTGTATCCCAAAAGACCTTTATTTGAACAGGGAAGTGTACAATTGTTTTCATTTTTTTCATTTCAGGGGAGTTTTGGTTGGGCCTCAAGAAAATCTACCCTCTGGCCTCTCAGGGCAATTCTGTTCTTCACATCGAGCTGGAAGACTGGAAGCAGAACAGATACTTTATTGAATACAGATTTTACCTAGAAGGTCCAGAGAGTGATTATGCTATTCAACTCATTCATCTGTCTGGAAGTCTGCCTAACCCTATGAGCAATCACACACGAGTGGTGTTTTCTACAAAGGACAGAGACAATGGCAGCCATTGGACCTCAAGATGTGCCCAACCCCATTCAGGTAAAGCAGATGTAATACACCACTTGGCAACAAGTTTTGAAGGTACTTATCTGGCTGTATTTTCAGACCAATTCATTATGTCCTTAATTTTTAGGTGGGTGGTGGTTTACCTGCTGCAGAGATGCCAACTTAAATGATAAATATTTGCGCACAAGAGGTAATGTGCGCTCTGAGCGAAGGAAAGGGATCCAGTGGAGGTCAGGACGAAAGGCGTTTTACTCCTTTATCTTCACCCAAATCTCCATCCGTTCTGTTGACTCCTTCAGCCCCACCGATCGCTAATCAATGATGCCGCTGGCCGTCTCTAATCCAAACCCAGTATCGTATGGAGTGAATTTTGTCCCTCTATTGTTGCAAGCAAAAAAAAAAACACTTTTTTGCAAATGTTAATTTACAAAAACAAAAAAAATGCTATCCAGAAATCCCGTTTTTTTGTTTTGTTTTGTTTGTTTTTTTTACAGATTTTCTATTAATGATGTGTTTTTTTTTCAAGTTTGAAGACAGGCAGGCTCAGTGGTTGAAGGAGCCAGGCTCGGACTGGTAAATCTGTGATACTGGTCATTTGCCTCGTGGGCCTGTCCTAATTTCAGCATGCGGGGGCCGGCCCTCCTTAAACCATACTGGCCCCAACACTTACTCTCCCACCAAAGCTTCTACCTGTGACGGTCAATAACTCAAGGAGCTCAAGAAGTAATACAATGTTAACTACCTAAATGATGCATGCAGTATATATAGCCCTTCCTTGTCATGCACATCCTTGTGAAGGTTGGCATATGGTGTAATTTTTTATTTCTTCAAACTTTAAAATCAGTGTTGTATAGTAACGAAGTAAAAATACTTCACTACTGTACTTAAGTATATTTTGGAGTACTATATACTTTCCAAGAGTATACATTTTTTTGAGAACTTTCACTTTTACTTCACTACATTTACAAACTTAATTGCATACTTTTACTCCGATACATTTTCAATGTTTGGTTTAGTTACTAAGTAAAAAAAAAAAAAAAAAGAGCGAGAGAATAGCAAGTGTTTTGACCCCGCCTACTCACTACAAAGTCGGGTCTTGCCTGGGCTTGTTCATCAACACCAATAGGATATGCCTGTTTAGCAAAGCCAGTCTAAATTTATCGTACACTTGGTTGTTTATATTATTTTTAGTGAATTTGACCTTCAAAGTTTACAAAAATGTAAAAAAAAATGTCATTCAAACTGCACTACTTTTTACTTATACTTTTCACTACATTATTTCAGTACATCTATTTTTACAATAATTCTTATACTTAAGTACAAGCCATTTCAGCTACTTTAAGACTTTTACTCAAGTAACATTTTAGTCACTGACTTGGACTTTTACCAAAGTCATATTTTGGAGAGGTACTTATACTTTTACTTGACTCAGAGATTTCGGTACTTTATACAACACTGTGTAAAATCCTTGCAACAAACTAAATTATAGTCAAACTAAAATGCTTTCTTTAAACCAAATGACGATCTTCCTATACTTGGCGAATTTATGTTAGAATATTTTGCAAAAATCTGTTGCAGTGCATGATGTGGTTTTGCATCTATTGCATTATTCAATTTCATTTCCCACATGCCACCTAGACTTGCAGTGAATACTTACACACCGCTGAGCTTTCATGTGTTCATTCTTGAAGAACTGCCTTTCTGCCTCTTTATCGTATTGTTTTATGTTGGCGTTTTATAACCCTCGGGCTGAGGTTGTAGACCTAGTACGTGTGAGCGCGTGTCTGTGTGGCTTTGTGCAAGTGTGCACGTTAAGCAGCAGCAGCCACTTTCACGTCTGTGTTAATAACCCAAGCCAGTAAAACTGCATTTTAGAAGTCTTGGTGATGGTTGCTGTGTGATGCTTGAAGATAGATCGGTTAATCCACAATGTGTATTCGTATCGGATTTCCTCCTCCTCCTTGAAGCCAGGCTTACAGGAATAAAACTGATCGTCTCATTCAGAGCCTCCACGGGGGAAGGACCAGGAAATGATCAGGAGACAAGACAAACACAAAGTCCCTCTCACTCCACAGGCCGCCAGGAACCAGGACATGAACCAATGAATAAACTGAACTGACTAAACAGGCAGACTAACAGGCAAAAAAAAAGCAGTCAGCAAACAAACATCTAACAATGATCTGCCCTCGATAGCTGGGCTGGACCGAATATTAAGCGGAACCTACAGGTAGATGAGATCAGAGATGATTAGGAACTGGGCAGGTGAGTAATATGAGCAATTAAGGCCAGCTATCAGAGCAGATCATGACATGTGTAGAGAAATGTGAAAAAATAACATTTCAAAGCCTTTTGTTGATTTAGAAGTTTTCAAAAGTTTAATTTCTGGAATGCATTTTTCTTTAAGTTTCCATTTATAAGACATGAGTTTTAATTGCAACAATAAAGGCACAAAGTTAACTCCAAACTACCTCATTTTTTCCCCCCCTGTTCATGTTAAATGGTATTGGAAAAGCATTCCTTTTTAGGGAAGCCTGATTAGGTTGGATTTGCCACAGGTTTGTGGATCTGATCGCCTATCAAGACATGTACTCATTAAATCCAGTAATACAAGGAATGTATGTATGTTTGAGATACGGTCTGATGTTTTCCTCTTTGCCTTTCCTGTTCTGTGTTTTTAGAGCTTCGAACCCTTTTGTTACGACTTGCAATTTTTATTGCTCATCAAAACATTTAAAGGATTTTCCAACATTTTTATCATGAAAAAGTGTTTATTGTTAAACCACTCAGATGTGAACAAATATATTTAAGGTAGATCTGGAAGGTTTTTTTGAACAACAAATCAAGAAGTCTCTACTGAAAGCATGCAGGACAAATTCAAAGGTAAGAAAAATCCTAAACGGCATTAAGTTTTATTTGTTTCACATGTTATTCTTAAATTATCTACCAGAGGTTCACTGTTTTAATCAAGGTACAAAAGATATCACATCACTCAGACATCCTAAACGGAAGAAATGCTTATTTTACACTATGCATATAAATTAAGCTCCTCTTTAGGAAGGCTACTGAGCAAAGTTTAAGACTTCTCTACTTCAAGCAGAAATGACCCCCCATTCAGCGAGGTCAAACTAGGTGTCTCCTGTCATGGCCACTTTTTCTGCAGGACAGGGAGGATAAAGGAAATAAGGAATAATATAACAATGAAAAGTTCATAGAATGTTGATTTTGCGTTACATAGTTCCTCTGATGGCACAATTCACCCTATTCCCTACCCTATACCCACAACATCATTAATCCAATCCTAATCCTCAATGAAAAGAAGAAGGGATAACTGGTTTAACATTTTTTAATAATGCGATTAAAAAGATTTATTCATATTTGTTTACATAACTCTTTGGAAAAAGAAAAAAAAAATTTCCTGCTTTATTAGACTCATCAGAAGAACCAATACAACAGCTTGCATGAGCAACTGAGAAGAGACAAGATTAATGATTCGCTGGATGAGGTTAAAGAACAGCTATCACACAGAGCCAAGAGGTCAGCAAAGCAAATGTGAAAGCCAGCTACCTAGATGTAAAACGAGAAGTCGGGTCATATTCAGAAACCAAACTTCTGAAAGTACTTTAAGTATGAATTTATTACATACTGTTCAATAAATGATAAGTGATTTTAATTAAGAGTAATGATTAGTAATATATGTGATTTACTGGAGGCATCCATGTTTGTTAAAGAACACTACTGCCACCTACCGGTTTGGGACGTCACGGTGCGGTATCGGCTGTTGATCAAGTCCCAGTGCTGTATCTGGTGTTTGTCACAACACGGTATTATCCAAGTCATCTTGAAAACATTCTTCTTCCAAATGTTGGCTACATATTACGTGTTTTTCCTCTGGCAAGAAGTTCGATGGCAAATCCTCCCTCTTCAAGTTGGCGATCCAACGACCAACCCGTGGTGGATCATGAATCGCAAAGATGAAATAACAATTTTTTTTTCCACTTTTAACCAATGTATTACAACATCCAACTGTCATGCATGTGGGCACTGTACTGTAAGTTGAACTATAGCCTTTGCGAATTTCAATGATGAAGTCCTCTCGAAATCTAAAGTAATTGTTGTCGATTGCAGATGTGTCTAGTAGCTCTCATTGATTTCTACTATATCTGGGTAAAAATGGCCGCTCCCAGACTCAGTGATGATGAAAATTATTTTTATTTCTTTACTGATTTATGCTAAATTCATTAAATCACCACAAACGTGTTAGTTTTAGGTATGGATAATGATCCATTGATTATTCCTTGCTGACCGGACTTGTCCTCGTAGCATCAGGGTCAAAGCCAATGGGTGACCGATACGTTATGCTCTCGCAGTGAAACCACAAATGAATGATCCCTTGGACCTACAGTATTCCTTTTTTTTTTTCCAACACCTATATAGAAAATAAACTGTTGCACACAAAAATATTGCATATGTATTTATCAAGGAGTAATGAAGAACAGTGTGTCCACAGTCCACTGTCATATGTGGACACACTGTATATACCCCATACACCTTTTTCTTCCTTTAGCACACATTTCCTTTGACCATTTGAGCTGATGTAACGATTATATTTCTCCACTTTGAGATCAATAAAGTCAATTAATCAGTCATGATTTAATTAAAGATCTGACCCAAATGCAGAAGACCAAACAGAGAGACCAGGGAAAAGTTTAACAGGTTTATTTAGTATAATGAGATGAGTTCAGTGCTGCTCTGAACACTGTTAAACTGGAACTGGAAAGTGAGGGGAAAACACTGCGGTTACTTCAGGCTCAGTGGGAAATTAGATTCCTTGACTTGAAGAGGAGGAATAGGTTGCAGACTCCCATTTCCAGAGAAAGGTGTCATTTATTGAATCCAGTCTGTGTGGGATGTTCCAGTGATTGTCTTAGTTGATGGTGGGCGGAGACGGTTTACCCAGACTGCGGTTGTTCCTTGGTGAACGGAGAAGCTGATTGCCACTTAGATTTCCTGCGGTACTTGAATGGGTTATTGTGGAGATGAATCCCCTGCTCAGAGAGAAGTCCCAGACAATCCTTGGGGGGGGGAGGTTGATCCAAACCACACACTTGAATCCTCAGCTCAGTTTGGTTCCCAGAAGATCCTTCCAGGGGAGAGAAGGTCCGAAACATCCAGTTTGCAGGATGATTTCCTGCTGAGAGGCAAAGACAAAAAATCAGTTTGACTCAGCAAAACTCAGCTTGGCTAGAGTACCCAAAACTGGCATAACAAAAACTCAGGTTAGACTCTTCCAAACTAAGCATGGCTAGAGTACCCCAAACTGGCAAACACTCTGGCGTTATG